CAAAATAACAACAATTTGCTATTCCACCTACAGTAACGTCGTATATTACTGTCATATAATCACACATTCAAATCAAACACGTGTTTGACAATACACTGAACAATTGAAACCACCTGTAATTAAATTAAACAAATTTTCTGTTCTATATTCTTTGTTATAGATATATATATGTCTTAAGAATTTCAATGTCAGCCGTATATGCCATCTATCATTGTTATTTATTTTCATTTTCATTTTCGAATATATGAAATAAAATCACCGGTTGTTGAGGTCTCTCCAGTACTGGGCCACATTGTACTCTTTTCTGTTGTTTCTATAATAGTTGTGGTGAAGAATGGTGTCGATGTAGTTTCAATGGTGGACGTTGTAACCACAGACGATTCTGTACTAAACTCTTCGGACGTTGTTTTATTTAATTTAAACAGAGTAAATTACTAACCAGTTGAAGTAGACTTTTGGGTGGTGGTACCCTCTTCAGTGCTACTCACATTAGTTGTTGCTTCGTAGGTAGTAGTGTGTTCTACGTGAACGGATAATTTATTTATTTAATTATTTGGATCGTTCGTTTGTTTATTTGTCAGCTCTATTAGTTGTCATTAGTTTTAACAATTAACTTTGTTACTAGTAGACAAAGACACATTTGTATAATAACAAACCTTCAGTTTCGGTAACTTCACTTGTTGTTTCAATAACTGTTGTATAAGTTGGTGAAAACGTGTCCCAGTAAAATTCTGTAGTGCTGATGGGTCCTAACAATGATAAAAGTGTCATTGAATATTGACAGTAGAGGTCAGGTGACTCAATAATTGAGTTTGTAAGTAAAATATAGTGTCGTTTGTTTATAATAAGGTATTTATTTTATACATCTTTGAGAAGCAGACGTGTCTAATTGTACCATTAACATACCGATATATTGTATTCATGTATAGTGCATTGTGTGTATCTGATAAACAGGTACTAGCACATATTGATAAATCGTTCACCCTAGCGACAAAGCGCTAAATATGTGACGTAAGGGCAGTGCAAAGCGTCGATTTTGTTTTGATCTCTAACTGTCTACCATTAAAGATTATGTATTCGATCAAGATCACTATGTTCTAGATGACGAACTACTAAACTACGATCATTGAATGACTTTGTCTACATCCATATATACCATTTTGACGTTACAGAAGCTACCCATCACAATAGGGCGAAATTCATAGAAATGATGTAGTGCTAGGTCATTGAAGTCATACTTACTTGTCGTCGTCTCTGATTTTGTGCTTGTGCTTTTTGTTGTTGAAATCGGTGATTGTCTCGTAGTTTCCACTGTGGTTGTCTCAGTACTTGTGCTAGGAAAGGCAGTTGTCAAAGGGGTACTTGTCTTCACTGTAGTGGTTGTTGTTTTAACTAATATTGAGAGTGAATTAAAAGTAAGCATGAACAATGCAATTTATATCTCAGATATATATCTTAGGATATATATCAGGAATGTGCCTTGCAATTTCCTGACATCATAAAGAAACTTATTGCATGTGAAAAAGCACTTCAATATATTTACGAATTTCAGAACCTAAATGAACGATTTAAGGTCCGAAATGCGACGAAATGGATACGCTGTCGTACGCTCTTATCAGTCAAGATAAACGTTTGTTCAAAGAATAACGGCAAGAAAAAAAATCAGGCCAACCATGCATTTAACATTGAGTATAAAGTGAAACAATGACACCTTAAGATGAAATGTACAGACATAAACGTTATTGGGACTCCTTTTCGTATTATAAATTTATTGTCTCACCCATTTCTATGCAACTCCAGAATGAAGCTGTCATTATCGGTACTCTGTCCCATTCCACTGGTATAATTCGAATTCGTGTAATTAGAGGCAGATTGGAACCCAGCACAGTAGATGTTGCATGCACCACTTTGACTCGGCTGAACATCTATAATGCAAATATAAAATAATTAATTCCACATACATACGCATACAATTACTGGTTTTACTTTCTGTATTTAAATAAAGCAGTGTAGTACAATGAAAGAAGAATGCAATCTTTGCGCAAATGTATGTTATGTTAGGCACGTCCATTTGCCAATATATGCTTTTTATGATAATTACTCTTTTCCGTTGTGAAAGATGTACAAATGGCAGCGACTGAATGGTTTACGCCATCAATCATGTACAGATATGTATATGTATATTACTCCATATAAGGTATTGTTGTTACAATATATTTTAGTTGTACAGCGCTGTTACATCTACACGTTTGAAAAGTTCATCTCATCATACCCACTACAATATCTTCCTATTAATATAATATTTATTTATTTATTTATTTATTTATTTATTTATTTATTTATTTATTTATTTATTTATTTATTTATTTATTTATTTATTTGTTTGTTTGTTTGTTTGTTTGTTTGTTTGTTTGTTTGTTTGTTTGTTTATTTATTTATTTATTTATTTATTTATTTATTAACTTATTATATAATCAAGTATAAATAGTATAGATTATTAAGATAACGCTCGGCCGGGGTAGGCACGAGTCATCTGCGGTTTAGAAATGTGTTTGTGTGAGTGATACCATTGTGTTTTTCATATTTGATATGTCTTGCAACTGCGATAATGGACTGCCAATTAAAAACTCAATGCGTACAGATAGTTATCAAGATCATACCCAGGAAAGTAAAACTTATCTCAATGAATCAGTTTTACATCTAGTACTTACCTCATCAACTTGGTATTCCAGAAAATCATCAAAGGAAGCTATAACTCTTGGAGTTGTGTTCGACTCCGGCTTTTTGGCAACGTATGTAACATCATCTTCAGTTGTGTATAGAACATGAAACAATGTAACCATATCTGGAATGTTGTCAACTGGAGATTTGACACCCGATATTTTAATACTAAACACGTTTACCGGCTCACTAAAACCAAACTCTATAAACGGGCTGTCATCACCGGCCATTGGACGCCACGCTCTTTCAACTTCATCCATAAGTCCTGTAGCCGGATATTCAGGGTCGGAAGACGATGCAGTCACTTCCACTGGAATATGTCTCTCATTCGCCATGCCTTCAGAGCAAACGACTACATAGACACAATGTTAGATAAATAATAAGTAACTTTTGTGAATGTATACCGACAGTAATCTGCGCATGGAGCAATTTCATCATATTATATAAGTAGAAACACAATACAATATATTAACTTCCATAGTATATGTTTGTTTAGAGCATATCACAAAGTATGTAACACATAGAAAGTATGAACAAAATAAGTTTTTACCTGGTGTTGTGTATACGGTACTCAGAGTTGAGCTTATCGGCGAGGAGAACATTGTAGTCGTCGTCGTTCCACCAGCTGTTGTGGTGGTAGGCGTTGTGCTAACCATGCTGGTTGTCGAAGTGGATGCTTAAAAACGAATGTAATGTTTAAACAACATTTAGTAATGGTTATATGTATGATGTTTTTTAATTGTGTAACTGTTGTGAATTCATTTTACTGTTCTTTGTTGCTTTATACTTAATAATGATAAGAATATTACCTTTGCATCCATAATACTGAATATTAAGACTTGGTTGTGTACTGTACATATTCCTCATTGGTGATATTCGAATTGCGAACACCGGCTCAAGGTTGTTTGGAAGAGTATTCTCTACCACAGATTTCGCATCTTCGTTGCCGAAAAATACCTGTGTACAAAAGAATTAGGCAAGGTTATCTTACTGCGAGGAATATATGACGCAGATTTCTATAACTTAATTGCGCAAATCCTTTCACTATGATATACATGTATACAAAGATATTTAGTGTACATATAACGAATATATACCTCTTCAACTTGTGGAATGCCAAGATCTTCATAAGGTACTGGTTCATGGAATATAGTAATTTCAGGTCGGTTTGGCAGTCGAATCCAGTTGCGTTCTGGCTGGTCGTCTTTACTAACTTCTATAGTGTATTTCTCCACATACTCTTCATCACCATCGAGATTGACATAACCAGTAGTTGCAACACTAGTAATACGTGTTTGTTCTTCGAAGCTGTATTCCAACCATGCGCCATTGTATATTTTTGAAGTCCAAGGCTCTTCCTCTCTGGGTGATGACTTTTCTTTCTCTCTACCATCAGCTTCGCTAGACGCTTCAACAGCATCCGGGAATATCTTCTCGGCAATGATTTGCATGTCTTCATATTCATAACAAATTTCTGTAAATATATAAGGTTAATATCCCGTTCTTAATCTTGGTGTGCGAACCACACTATAATATATATATATATATATATATATATATATATAGTACAAAGTATGGATGATAATATAATATGAGATAGTATGAGGTAGTGAATATACGTATTATATATTCAAACAAAATTATCAAATGTCTTTTGGAATTACAGAGCTAACAATTTTTGCTTAATCATACATACATTAATATTTCTTATTTAATATGCAGATATATGCAAATATCACAATCAATGTATACATGTTATATATTTGAAATTTTTCCTTGTCCGCATTGATATATTGTCAGTGTATATATGTTTCTGCATAAATATATTGCAACATTCGAACGCATACATGGCGTACCATAACTTGTCTTGCGTCGTTTTTTTGTGTTGTGCGCTAAAATACTCTTCTGACATTAGTAGATTGAAGCGCAATTTAAAATATACGTCAGATGTAATGTAGGTACTACTTACTGGTTGCCGGGGTACTAGGTAGTACTGTGCTGGAGGGAGATGACATGGTTGTGTGCAGTCCTGTAATGGTTGATTGACTTAATGATATGGGAGACACTGGTCTTGAAGTGGTTGATGGTATTGACGGAATAGTTGTGCTATGTCTTGGAATGGTTGATGAAATCGGTAAATGAGTTGTGAAAGGTATTGTAGTTTTTGATGGTATTGATGAGGCAATTGTACTAGGTCTAGTAGGTCTAGACGAGACAGTCGTACTAGGTCTAGTGGCAGATGATGACATCAGTGGTGTTGTAGTTAACGGCCTCGAAGTAGTTGTTAACATTGATGAAACGGTTGTATGAGGTCTAGCGACGGTTGATGACATTGGTAAAGAAGTATTTAACAGTATTGATGGGGTGGATGTGAAAGATTGGCTAGGTGTAATAACAGTTGATGATATTGGTGCTGTGGTTGTTAATGGTCTTGTAAAAGTTGGAGGTTTTGACGAAATTGTATAAGGTTTAGTTATGGTCGATGACACTGGAAACGAAGTAGTTAATCGTTTTGTAGTGGTTGATGGTATCGATGGGGTTACTGTAGGAGATACTGTTCTGGTTGTTGGTAAAATAGTAGATGCAGTAGAAGAAATGGTAGCATTTGACGGGAAGGTAGTTGAATGTTGTGGTGTTGCACTCGCCGTTGGGCGCGAAGATGATACTGGCATCGTTTTAGTACTTTCAATTTTCGTAGAGTAAGTTGTCTCAATTCCAGTTGTACTAACTTCTGTGGTAGTTTTAGTTTCTGATGATGTTGGCACTGTATAAATAGAAAAATTGTAATATTCTGAGATTCAGAAGTTAATATATGATGTATCAGAAGCAGTGAGTTACATAACAAATTAAAAACCAGTGAAGTTATTGTCAACACGTTATTTTACATTTTGTTTCTGGTAACCGTATTTCTTACTTGGTAACAATGAGCTTACTCGGCAGAACATTACATTGGTTATCTTTTTTTCTATCCATGACGGTTACTTGTGTACAAGGCTACGCATTCTACATTGTGATAATTCAATAGGCCGATATATATTCTTTCGTGCGAAATATGCTTTTGTCAGTAAAAATTTTCACAACTGCTTTTTTCTTCGAGTCGGTAAGATTGCGTATTGACTCATTTTGTGGCAAAAACAACACATATTCATACACTCACTTGTAACTTTTTCCGTTGATATGGTCGTAGTTGTGATAGGTACGCACTGACAACATCCATTCTGCGGGGCGAGTAGCATATATCCCACCTTCAACAAAAACAAATTGTCTTCTTTAATCAAAAACACTGAAACAACCTCAACGCCGAATAGCGAAAATATCAAATTGTATTACATCTTATAAAACAACTGTTATTGCGTTATTTATTACAATGATACGTAAAAACAAGTAGTTGGAAAATACTCAATTTGGTTGTTGTTTCTTAATTGTATAAACGACAATCCCGCGTTTGAATATTGAATGAGCCGAAATAAGCAAATGCTCTTATATACGTAACAAAGATGGCGACACGAAATTGTGTATGGACGGGATAGATCTGCTCACCATCCCTTACCAGGGGAGTCTGGGGCATGCTCCCTCTTAAAAATGTTGAAGATCCAGACCCTCTGAAACGCTATTACCAGCATTTTTAGGGGCAAATTTTGCTGACACAAAGGATTTCAGCTTGATTTTAGAGATGACTCCCCACCCAACATGTTTTGCCCCCCCCCCCCCTGTGCCACCGCCACTGATTAAAATTCACAAAGTCCAGGTAATCTAATATAACAATCATGAAACTTCGACTTTCTACTTTTGTATAATGTCTTCATGTTTATGTTTCAATAAGCAAGATTATATTTATGAACACTCTCGGATAATATTTCACTCACTTCACAGTCACTTTCTTGTAAGCGACATCCGGATTCACACTCGACGTAGTATTCTTTCAGTCCTTCATTGTATTTACAGTTGCATAATTGGCAGTCTCCAATCCAATAGTAATCACCTTCTACTGCTTGCTACACATACAAGGTGTGAATAATATAATACATGTTACACATAGCTACATACTAGTTTACACATACATACATACATACATATGAAGCATATTTATGTATTCTTGCATCTCTTCAACCATATACAATTAATAACATATCTATATCACATCAGCGCAATTGGTCAGTTCATGTATACACATAAGCTGAACTAAATAACTTACATCAATGGCATTGCCTTCCATGTCGATAGCCCCATCCAGTAATGTACAGACACATTGTTCACTGGGTGATGAGTAGCATAAACCGTTGAATTCAACAGTGTTTTCAGGACATATACATTCCTTAGATGCACAATGAGAAGCTACTTTATCATCGACTGGTGGTGGTTTGGCACCAAATCTTATATCATCACAAGTTAGTGAGATGATACAGTCGGTCTTATCACACACTGAAAAATATAAATATTTAATGTTTAATATAAGGATTAAATAATGTGGGTGAAAAGAGTATTAAAAGACAGTGTTTGTCGCACCAACCATGTGCGAAATTCGCGTTCAAATACATTGGTTTTCCCACAATCCAATGCGTTATTCCAGTGTCAAGCACCGACCTCTAACTGATTAGAATATTCGCAAATGTGTTCATATCATCCCAGGAATGGCCTAATCAATCATTGGTGACGTCATGTTTTGAACTAGTTGATCTTTCGCAACATTCAAAGCCGCCAGATTTGTTCGTATCTTGCTGCAGGCGTGGCGCGACGATTACTGTCCTTTAATGTATAGTTACGTAAACAGTTTTGTTAACTGGTGTTTTGAGAAAACCAGATAGTTAAGTTTGTACAAAATTCCACTACACTATATTATAAAAAATATCATTATATTTTCATAACATGGACTGCTAAACCAAGCTAAATGTGGTACGACTATCATGTGATCCAATAGAACCCCTGCATTTAAAATGGATTGAGCGATATAGTACTCAGTCGTCGTCAGTCTTCTAGTGCATGTTGTCTAGACGTACAACCGACATGCCATATCCTATATGTATCATTTCACAACCGTTGATGCATGCGACACATGGAATTCAATATCTTCTTTGGATCAGTTAATAATGTTCTACTTTGCTGAGTTGCATAACAGGTTAATACATACATCCTTGGAACTTTGATGATTAAAATTGAACCTGGTAAATCCGACCTCCACGCGTATATTCAACATCACTGACTGTGCACATTTTGTGATGCAGTTTACACTATTTCTGTCGCTATAACTGCGTATAAATATTATTTTACTTCATCTTGTCTTATAATTATGCGGATAACTATATACAACTGGTATAATGTGTTTTGAAAGCTCTATAAAATCTATTCGAATTAGTTGCATTTACATTATCGAGCATATGGATATTTAATTCGCGAAGATTTCGGATTGATATTGAATAAAATATACCTGTTGATATGGAAGGCGTTATCGTGGTTGTCACTTTAGTAGTTGTTGTCGGAGCACATGGCACAGGGTAAGATATCACGTGATTGTCAACACATTGGTATTCTATGCATATATCGAGTGGATCCGACCAGGTTTCTCCAGGCTAAAAATGTAAGTTCGTATTTCGAATAATTGCGTCAATACATGACAATAATAGTATTACATGTGTACTGCAGAATACACAGTCATACGTGAGGAGTAATATTGGTATTGTATATAACTGATATGCAAATGAGCTAAAAATACTTCCTTCTAGATTTTTCTTGTTGTTTTCTTGCATTTGTTGCATTACTTCAACTTGCCCCCCCCCCACCATAATTCTTGTTAAATGGTTTAAATGGTATGATTGAGTAATTTGAATTTTCTCGAATGTTCTTTCTTGGTATTTATTTTTTCACCCATCCTTTTTTATTGCATACAATAGAAATTAAGTTACAGCACAATGTCAAGATACAACAAATGTCACAGCTAATATAACCAATACAAAATAAACACTGCATACCCGATACCAGGTGTGGGAACCGATTAACAATTAAAGTCTCCCCACTTGTCCAGGAAAATGGACATTGTATGTCTTCTATTTGAAATTTCTAACTCTATCCTTTGCGTGTAACGTATATCAGATTTTATGAGATTAAAGCACATATTTTAAAACTAATGAAAATGTTTGAAAATCGCCGTAGCAATGACACTATCAGATATACATCATTGGTGATTGTTAACAATCATGCACTAGTCTTATACTGTAATTCTGAACGCTTATGGGATTATATGTTTTAGCTCACCGTTCTAATGTTTCCTTGTTCGTCCGCACAATTACACAAGTACGCATGTATACAACGTACACCGTCGAACCGGAGCCCAGCACCACATGTGCAACAAGGGACCTCGTTATTTGGTATACACTCTGTCATGCTGTTGCATACGTCGGATCGACAATCTTCGCAAATTGACGATTGTTCGTACAATCCGCAGTCTGAAAAAACGCAATTTGTCTTAATTACTGTATTATCGCATGCCAATACCAAGCGGATAATATGCGTGACTTTGATCTATAATATCTACAGAGTACTGCATAAATCGATATTTGCATATTGTCATTCATTCGGTAAAATAACTGACTGAATGCTTATTGACATTTTTTTAAAAGCTATCACTTGTACTTACCTGGTGGTGGTAGTGTAGATCCTTTCACAGTTGTTGTCCCTGTTATGGCAAATAATATATTGTAATGAGTACCTTCTAGGGCAATAAGAGATGGATCTCAATATGTTGTTCATAATTTCCCGTTCATTCGTCGTCAGCAGTGATCAAGGAACGTAAAGACATCAAACGCATATATATGTCCCAAGTTTCAATACAATTGATGATTAAAATGTTATTTCAGTTAAGAAAGTAGTGAAGCTTTCAGCCCCAACCTTATATACATATTCTGTTAAAGTGTCAGTTACGCCAAAATATCAATTAGGCATATATATCAAGTGCCAAAAAACATAAACATAGTTGAAATCTAGTAGTATTGTCATATTGTCGTGATAAGTAGTTTTGAAAAACTTAGCATACACTACAATATGATGGCGAATATAATATAATTGTAAGGCAGTACAAGAAGTTAATTGATAGTAGCAATACAAACACTGTCGTGTAGTGGATGACTCACATTGTTCGCATATTTCAGGGTCTTCGTCGGCGCCATTACTGCAATCTATCGTGCCGTCACATACCCATTTACTGGGCATACATTCTTTTACAGGATGAACTGAGCACGTAAACTCGTTAGGACAAGGATCGGGAACACATTCGAAACAACAACCGTCAACCGTTTTTACTTTATCGTATCCCTGGAATCAAGAAAGCTCTTACTGAAGATAGTGTAGTTCTAGAAGTTTTCTGACATTTGACTTTATTCAAACAATCCTTTTTCAAAATTTATCTGCTAAAGCATAACGCTATATAAGGCAAATTAATAAAAAGAACATTCCATGACAATTTGTCTGGCTACCCAGTCTTTCCCCGGATCGGAAAGCTATTTGGCATGTTTAATACTATTATACTATTATCATGGGTTCTACACAACGATTTAGCACAACAGATTTGAATCAATAATGATTTCTAAACATTGTTATTGACTATTTTTTATTTTATTTTTATCTTATTCAAATACATACTCCACGATAGACCTAGAGGCAAATTGTCAACGGCAATAAAAATTCATATAGAAAACAACAGTACTCTTACCTTGGGGCACACGTCTGGATGACTGCATTCGATTTCAATACAACGTTCTTTACCTGGTTGCACACATTCACAAGTCTCGCAATGATGCAGTCCTTTCCAGGTTTCATTAACCTTTAATAATAATAAACAAATTTACCTTGAACATGTTGAATAAATATCACAACAGATTTTAGATATTATCATTGAAGATGGCATATAGTGTAATCACAATAAGCACATGCTTTTATATATGCTAACATATGTGTCTTAGCAGTAACATGTGCAGTTGTCAACAAAAATGGTCACAAAAGTAAATGTTGACAGTGATATTCGCTAATGATTAACTTGATTTATCGTGGAGAACTCGATTTAGTTATATGTAAATAACAAAAAGATCGATACTGTATTTCAAATGTCAACATTAGTTTTCTGAACAGTATTACATATTTTGTATACAAACCTGGAAACATATTTGGAGATCTACATCAAAGCAACCGTTATAGCACAGGCTAATCGTGGTACTTATCGGCGTGGATGCAAGAGGCGCAGTTGTTGAGATAATTGGAGTTGTTGTTGGTTCTGAAATACATAAAAAACGTGTAAAATAATAAATATACAAATTATGATTGAGCAGACTATTCCATATCGAATACATATACTATGAGGTTATTACGAGAATACTTCGTATGCACGAAGACAGCACAGCTGGAGTATCGAGTGCATACTTTGAGGTATTCTCGTAATAACCTTATTATTATTATACATCGTTCCCTTCCAAGAATACATCATCAAACTCTGGTGGAAGCCATGTTTGTTTTTGTTATTAGAGGATGCATTCGCGCGTAATCATTCCATATTTGGAATTTGCATTCCCTTATATGGTAGGATGAAATATCCCATAAAATACCAGCAAAATTATGGCACGCTGTAACTTATGGCGTTACTGTGACTGATGTATAATAATACTAAATATACATTACAAAATAGCGGAAATACTTACTTGGTTCGCAATAACAACATTGCAATCCACCAGGACGAATCAAAACTTCGTTTTCCTAAGAATATATTGAGAAACACGAAAGTTTACACTGCTTTTATACGTCTGATGTTTACAACTGATAATGTAATGGAATCAGATCTGTTTAATCCATCTATTAACGCTTTCATTGACATACATTTTCATTATTTTGTATTTCGGTTTTACGTGAAATCTAGAATTTCAATCACCAAACACATGTGAACATAAATGTAATTAAACTAGCTAGTTGTCATATTAGTGTGTCTGACAAATGTGTTCTCCGCACAAGCTGTGTTTAAACAACTTTTTTTTTATTATTGCAACTGTGTGTAACTATGTATTCATGACAAAGTTTCCGTAATGCACACCATAAATATTGCAATGACACATGCGTCAATAAGGATGGTGAGTATTCTGGCATACAGAAGTGCAATATGATATAAATTGGCTCTATCACACAGCTTACCTCACAAGTTATTTCACAGAGATGATCGCAAAAAACTTCGCTGTTTTCTTGACATGTACACTCCCAACAGGGATAGTTTTGAATATTCCATCTTTCGCCATACTGTACGGTGATGAAAACAAAAAGCGAGCAAAACAGTTGAATAAATAAATAAAAGTTTCGCCACTGAATCGAACTCGAACCAACAAATAGTATTGACAGATATACGTACCAAATATGTTATACCTTCGTACACGCAATTGCAGTGACTGTCCTGAATGCATCTATTGCCTTCCATGAACAAACCTTCAGGGCAGAAGCATCCTGCCTCGCAGCTTTCACACTCTGTTCCATCACAGGTCTTGTTACAAGAACATTCCTCATAGACCAAAGGGTATTGACAAGCTATAATTGTTAAATAATTGTTTTGATATTGTTATAGGCTTTCTCGCATAACGCGTTTATATTAGTAAGTAATTAATAAAGTCATTTGTCTGATTTTTAATTTGTTACCGGTTTAAATTAAACTCGGTTGAACAGTATTCCGATTGGAAACTTACCCGGTAATGTTGTTGGGTACTGTGTTGTCGTAGGGATAGCTAGACAGTAGCAACACCCACCAACTGGTTCTACCAATTCGTATCCCTGAAAAAAACACAATTACACACTGTAGTGAATACAAATGCCAGCATTACTAAGTGTTTTGATTTTCCAATATCTGGTAAAACTACATTTCACTCACCGGTTCGCAAAGAATATTGCAAGGACCAGGTACACATAGAATTCCTGAAATCAGACATTGGCACAGGTCGCAGTCACCACTGTGTATGCTTTGGTGAAGCTGTAGAGACGTTTTTTCATAAAATGAAATATATACAAATCTGTTGTTGTATTTACTACAACACATATCAATGATAATCAAACAAATACTCAAAATCATTCCAGTAGAAGAATAAATAGACATTACACTAATTTATTTACAAAACTATTCTAATCATAAAAATGAGTAAAACAGTTGTATTTTGTATGCATCTTGTAACAAAACGACGTTACTTACTTCCATCCAAATAGAAACGCTTTCGCCGTTAACATCATTGTATTCAAAATAACATGGACACTCGGATGGAGAGATGCATTCACCATTGTGTTCAACCATATCTACTGGGCAATCACAACCAGTAGCCACTTCACAGCTACCATCACATGTGAAAGAACTGTCCGCTAAGTCAGTACAGGTTGCATGGCATGGACACTCAACGAATTCCTTGCCACCAGAACCTATCACGAAGATTAAAATAATTCCCATATCACGTTTTGATTTGTTTTGTTCACACAATTACTATCTTACATAAAATGCTGCACATCATTTCTCCTAACGAACTCGTATTTGTGTATATTCTTTTCAGGTGTAATATTCTACCCATTTCGTATATTTGACTCATCCGCCTCACCATAACGTGCCAAAACGGAAACGTCAATAAATTTATAGAAAACATTTCACACGTGACCATATCAAATATATAGAAGAAATGTATACTCTCGAACCAGATTCGTGATTTGCGAATATGTAATTGTGTGTACCTCTGTGACACTCGTCTAGTCAAGCATTGCCGTCCCACGCAACTGACAATGTCTTGACATGTTAATATCTACACTTATATTGTTTTAAGGTTTTAGTTTACTATATCGGCGAGATTTATTGATAATGGAAAGGCACATATTCCTACGGAACCATTACGTTATATGTGAAAATAATTAATGTTATCAACTTACAAATTGGCAAGGTTGTTCCTGACGTAGTTGTAGCTACCGATGGAGTACCTAGGGCTATAAAAAATAATGGCAACTTAATTTAATTATATTTATAATATTTTCTTGATATATAAATATTTGGATTAATATTTCTACATGAACCTACCACAGCAGTTGCATAAGTGAAAATACACATTTGAATCGGTGTTCATAGACGCTCACCTTCGTAAGGGCATCCAAAGAACTCGACCCTTAGCGCAATCTTAGTTTTCCATATGACAGGCACAATTCTGACTGACACCATACTTGGTACGTAATCTGGTATATCCTGCTCCACGGGTATATCACCATCGAAGTTGCCATCAAACTCCTGTGTTTATATATTACATTACATTTATAAATATTGTGTATATACGGGGCGTTGTTTAGAAAATATGCATACAATTATTTAAATTGAAATGGACAATAATCAGAAAATCCCAATAGCATTGATATTCGACTCAATGTTGATTGATAATGCATATACAAATTATTTGGCAATAGCGTAACCAATTGTCAATAATGTAATACTTTGCATTTTCACTATTTATATGCGATGTTATGTTCATACAGATTTCACCAGCTATGTACCATAGCTTGTTGCATGATTAGTTTTGAAAATAACAATAAAACGACATTGCTAAAATCACATGGCAACGGCATCACATGACTATAGTACACAATGTTATACTGTATTCTTGTCAGGGTATGCGGACTACGCCAGATTCAAAATATACCTATATAATAAGTTTATATGTCTAATAAAAATAAAAGGACGCTGTTGAGTGCGTCGAAATTGTATAGAGATATGGTCATCCGTTAATAGAGATTAGCTATATTCTAAAAGATGGCCGACGACAAAACCAAACAGAGTTGTCTGTTTGAACAACATTGCATATGTCATCTACGTCATTTTGGCGTTATTTGCGTTACATTATCGCTATTGGTCGCGAAAGGTGTATTCACCTTATTACTCCACTCATCGATAGGAGGTAACTCTTCGCCAAACACTGGTTGCGGTATTTGCTTTACAGTTTCCCAGACATCGCCACCGATACTGTACATCATTTCGTACTTATCTACAACCTGACTTCTGTCGTTGCCGCTACCTTGGGTTACAACTTTCGTCAGTTTCATTGGTGATTCAAAATCAATTTGCAACCACTGCCCAGCTTGACTCTCCTTAGGTGACCATGACTGTTGGTTGAACAGCCTGCCATTTGCTGGTTCACTACCTTCTTCATATGATGAGGCGGAAATCTGAGTGTCTAGTATTCCGCGAGAGGCCATCCCCAACGCTTGATTACAAACTGAAACAAAACCACAGTATATTAATAAGCTAATAAACATCTCGGTGTATCTATAACTATTTATGAATTGAATATGCAGACTTACTTCCTGGAAGGGTTGTTGGCATCGTGGATTGAGACGGTGTGGTAGGTACTTCTATGAATAAATAGAGAATATTTGTCAACTAAAACACATATTTAGTTTTGTAGAAATCGCTGAAATGAGCATTATGCTATTCAATTTAGTTTAATAATGCCACCTAGTAAATATATTTAATCTGTGTTAATATTAATGGAAATATATTCGTACCTGGACACACTGCACAACATTCACCAAACGGTATGTACCTTTCTTCCTACAAAAGAAAACCAAAAACAACGCATTGAAAAACCTCCTTAGGTAGTCAATAAGTGCGCTTCCTACAATCCTTGTTCAGCTATAAGGCCATACAATAATATCTATTCCGTGTTTTATAAATCATAACCAAGTACATTATTATAAACGCGTATCCATAGCTGTACTAGATCCCCTGAACTGGACTGGAAGGGCGTATTTTTTAGATCGTATGCATCAACAACTGGAATAATTGGAGCTTAGTATATCGCTCTTCTGTCCTACCACTTCTTGACAAGCAAAGCTCACAGCCCAGCTGCAGCATATATGTATATATATATATATATATATATATATATATATATATATATATATATATATATATCTTATACCAGTTTCACCTACCTCCGGGCAATCAGGAACGTGACTACATGGTCGTTTCTCACATATGGGTTCGTTATTGAAACATACACAATCCTCACATGGATCTGCTGGTGATGTCCATGTCGCTGTAGGCTGCAGTAAAAGTAATTAAAACATAAGAAAAAACTGCTACAAGTTGACACAGAATAAGTACGACCATTCAGGTTATTACAGCCTGACAGCCAATGACATTATCATTATCCAAGTTCATTTTACATACACAAAGATACCTACCAAATAGTAGCTTCCCATATGCAGGCACAAGCATTCTGTTGGTGAAATACAATGGGTTCCATTGAAAACACTAAGTCCTGGACACGCACATGCAGTATGTCCAGAGAAATGAGCATCCATTGCACATTCCGCCATGAAATTGCAGCATCTTGCTTCACCGACTTCAAATGGTGGAATACACACTGAAAAGAGCAGATATAATTAACTCGATACAAACTGAATTGTCCCAAAAATGTGGGCTCCACTACGAGATCCAGCGTAATACATGAAAGCCGAGGACAAACAAGTGCCGAAAATATCGAAGGATTTGTTTTGAAACTTCATTTTATATGTTATATAGTTCACTGTCAAGATGCCGGTCTTTCAGAAGCGAATATGCAGTTGAGATAGCCTTGCTTCATCACAATTTACCCCCATTAATTGTGTATAGCACATTATTAAGCGTGGAAATTACCCCCAAAAATTACATTTGTCGAATTCCGCGCAATGTTTTGTCGTCACCACGACGCAGAGACCTTTGTGTGACGCGGGATCTCGCAGCAGACGGAAAGTGGTAAATAGGTTTTTAGTACCGGCTCTTTTGTTATGAGACTACGATGCCGTAACAATATACTCAACAACAGACCAATACATATATATATTTAAATACGAACATTAAGAAAGCCTTAAAAATGAACCAAAATATCTTACTTGTTGTAGTAACTGGAGTTGTGTAGGTTGTACTACCTGAAACGAAAAGGCAAATTTGTTAGATTCGCTTCTGATGATGTCATGCCCATACTATCATTGATTAGTTCAATATATTGTACACGACAATCACAAGATATTATGTCAGCGTTACTTACTTATTGGTAAACATTCACAACAAGCACCGTCATGTTCTACCAATGCTTCGCCCTGTTAATGAAACCACATATTAGGTTGATTTTCTTGTATTTCAATGTTTAAACAATGTTGATCAGCAGTTTTTTAAAAGCCTAAACACGGAATGAATGCATTATCTCAGTATTCCCAATACAATTTACGAAAAAACATCCATAAACAACGTAATTGTCATTCGTGAAGAAATGCATTTCTGAATAAAAAAAAACACATTCAAAATGTAATACGAATGTATAATTTGCAATATTGATACTGTATATTTATGATTACTATGGCATATTCTTCATCGTGAACTAAAACAAAATTTACATGTAGTACACACCTATTCGTATTCATTTGTTGGAACAATGACATTTTCTATTAAGCATATGCACTTATTGTTTAGATACGTACAAAAAACATTATTATAATAGATGTGATTTTAGTGTGATTTTACTATGATGTGTGCTGTAAAGCCAACACATTTGATGTGTAATCTAATTTGGTTATCAACAAACAGCATCAAACAACACAATGTGTTTGCTACACTACTACGAAAATCTAAAATCAGATTGTATTCGAATAACATGTTAATGTTGATTAGTACGCCTCTAGTTGCTTGCATAACTAAATCTCTCATTTGTTAGATTGATTTCACGATAGAAAAGTATTTCTACCTCCTGACAGGTGATGTGACAATCTGGGAAGCAATCTATCTTTCCATTTACACAACTGCAAGTCATACAAGGTCCATGTGTCCATTGGCCATCCTCCTGTAATTTACAATCATGCGCAGTAATTTATCAGTATATTCACAAGAAACAATAATTAATGCACATCAAGGCAGAGTGGCACTATCAGAATCACACACCAATTCTGAGCATATATCACTTATGATGCTATAGTCATTACTATTATGTTAGTTCTTACCAGATATACAATAAATAACAAATCAACCTACCGTGCATTCTGGGGTTGATGTCGATACTGTTTGGAAGATAAGAAAAGTAAATCAAATTTATAATAAACATATAAATATACCCAATTCTTTATTTTTACATTTTTCATTTATGCATATCAAATCCCTCCACTTCTTTATTGTGAGGCTAACTATTTTGTAATCTGAACAACGTCAAACAGACAAACGCTTCTACGGTGTTTAGTACATGTCTGCAACAGTGTAGAAGTGAATTGTAAACATACCCCAAGGTGTGGTTGATTTCAGTGTAGTTGATGGTAGAGGGGGAAGAGCTGTAAGAAAATCATATACACAGAAATATAAAATATGATGTTTATTTTCTATAGGAAAAGAAGATATGCAATCGGGATTTTGTCTGGAATCAAATGACACTTACCGCACCCTAACGCAGCCACTCTCATACCGATGGCTCCAACCCATTCCAATGGTCTTATTCTAAGTTTTGAGGCTTCGAAACCAATATGCCCTGGTCCCATTCCAGGAAGATCAATAGTGACTTGTGCGTTTCCATCACTAGGCCCATCAAATTCCTGCAGATTGTGAGGATAATAATTAAATCGTCATGGTAACTGTGCTGTACACAACTAATAATGTTGAGGGTAGTTTATTCGAAAATATTTTCATTTCAATTTCAAACTAATGGCAAAGCTCTATCATAGCCGGCAATGTTGTGACAAAGATGGTTGTAATGTCAAAATGAAATGGTCTATGTAGTCGTGAACCTATATAGTATATATAGTATTGCCGAGTTTATATAGGTGTAGTGCGTATACTTACAACAGGTGAAGATGAAACAGACAGATCAATAACTGGTGTCCACTCCGATTGAGCATATTTATCCACGGAAAATTTAGTGACATAATTCCCATTATCATCACCTTGTACAACCAACTGAGTAACGAATGCAAAGTCTGGCAAATCCACGAGATCAATGAACTCGCCTACGTTATTTACGAATGGTCTCCACGCGACTCCATCTAACTGTCCAACACTACTATCCTGAGGTAAATTATCATCAACAGAGCTGTAGTCGTAGGATGTCGGAAGTGGCGAAGGGGGTTGACCGGTTATCGTACACCTCACTACACAATAGAGTAGAATGTGTGTTATACATTAAACAATACATCACCAAATATGGTAAATGGTAACATAAAAAAATATGTCCACTGTTTCATCCTCCCCTTTATGACACTTGAGCTGCATTTTAGTACACCTGACATCGAACACATGGAAAGCTTGTAGTATAGGTGGGTTCATTATTGTGTACAAGTATGCAAATGAGGAAAAGGATTTCAACAATCAAGTATAGCTAAATTCCTTCGACACATACCTATGTTGTCAGCACATATTACTGTCTGGTTATAACACATTCCATTTCCATATGGTAATAAGCCAAGGGGACATTGACAGCCGTCGGCGCAACCTTCTAAAGGATCGGCGCATGTACCTGGCAAGATTTCACCCGCTGTAGCCCCACATTCTTTATGACAGAGACAATAATCAGGACACTCTGTGTAGTAAAGAGAGGACGTGTTAGTAAGAAGATAAATGGGGTGTCTGCAGATGGTCTAGTATACCAGAATATTTCTTCATCCTCGTCACCAACTACCTCATATTATACTATATGTTTATGAAGTCACAATAATACATGGCAAAATATAATAACTAATATATATATATAATAAAATAAGACTTCCTGCGTATAACTCAAAATTTCAAGTAAATTGAGCCGACTATTTTTTCTAACCTATGATTAACTATTCAGTACCCTTGGGCATTACACAGTTATGCAACAAGTGTTTAGTCACTGGTAGCATATTGGTTGTTGCATCAGACTCGTGATCGGTTGACTCAAGTTCAAATCCTACCTTAGGCTGAACATCAAAGGGTCGACCCCTAACCTGGGTGAGTATGCCACAGACACAATGGGCAGGCCAATTCCACTGGCCGAGATTCATTCACTAACGAATGCGACTTTGTGGGAACCTTGGTTAAGGTCCGCAGGTGCTTGTGGTTGACTGGGCCTGGTAGCGCATTACAAATTGCCATTTGACAGAGAGCCACACAGCCCTGTCATGTAGTCCTAAACATGAATATGACTTCTGTGGCAAAAATGCACTATGTATCAGCACTTGCAATTTGCACATACAGAAAACAAAAGTCAGGAGAGACAACAGTAACACTCAATGTCTTGAAATGTCGCCTGGCACAACAAAATCAGTTGTAATAGTATGCTATAATCAGGCAGGTATGCGGGAAAAGTAACCTTATGGTCTGATAAATTATGCCCACCAGATAAACAGCGCAAATAATGCTTCATTGGAATCTATCGCTGTTCCGTTTTGGGGTCTGTCAATGATTAGTTATTTTACAAAACCAAAAAGATGTGACAATATACCTGAGATACATTCTGCTTCGTCAGGGTGGTATCCACAGCGAGAGGCTGGGAATCTGTCAGCTCGTGGGTCACAAACGCAGCTTGAATCACAACCTTCCAACGACACTCCACATTCACCGACGGCATCGCAGTCGTATTGACAGTCACACTCAGATCGACAATCTGTGTATTGGGGTTAAAACATCTAATTTAACTTTGCGAAAACTAGACACTTAGATATAGTGTACTGTGAAGTTTGATAAATTCAGGAAAAGCTCGATGATTTTTTTAATATATATTGAATAATATTTATGTACAACTTCGAGTGCAATGTTTTGAACCAATAGTATATTAGATATCAGAGAGAAATTTATTATTTTCCGACACACCGGATATGACATCATGGTATACATATCTATGGAAATACTTACGGCGAACAGTTGTAGTTGGTGGCAGTGTCGTTGTTTCCGGTGGTGCATTGAAGACACACTTTCCATCATCGGACATGACGTAGTTAGGTGGCTGGCATACGCAGTCTTGTGGACAGTTCTGCGCTTCAGAACAACTTATCATAACACCGGACATTATCTCTACCTCAGTTAACTCGTCATCCCTAAAACAAGCACATTCCATTGGACACCCTGTATGATAAAAAACATATGATATGACATTGCAGCTACACTCGTCAATAGGATTGCAATTGTATTATTACTATGAAAATATAACTTACAACTTGGACATCCGATCACTTCCATTCTAATAGCAACGGCACCAACGAATAGTCTAGGTTTTATACGGATGAACTTAGCTTCAAACCAATCTGTTTTTTCCAGTCTGAATTCATTTGGTTCATAAGGGTTTTCACTTCCCTCAAACTCCTGTATAACACGCACAAACAGAAGCCTGATTAGTTCATGTGGGTGTATGCAAAACTGTGGAAACATGCAGTTACGCACTCCGTTGTCTGATCTGTTCTGATTTGTCCGTCTCAATCGCGTTATAAAATACGTCATATAAAATTGATCTTAAACCTAATATTGTGGTATATGTAATATTTGTCATTCTTCACTCGGCTATGGTTAATCAAATATTTCACGATCTGGTCAGATAATCTTATTACGAACAGAAATCAAGCGCCCAAAAAAACTTACCATTGCAACACCAAATACATTGGTTACTGGTTCGTAGGTCATTCCATCAAAACTGAAATCAACAACAAATTTTGGTACGTAGCTGCTGACACCATCACCTTGCATGGCAATACTTGTAATTGTGCTCCGAGTTAATAGCTCTATTTGAAGGTAATTTAAAGACGATGATGAATCTTCGGGCATCCAGTAATTGTCTCCATTCAGTCGGGCCGCATATGCAGGGTGGCCTGGTGCAGATGATGATGCTTGGATATCACTATCTGGAATCTGTACGCGTAATATAGACCTTCCAGGCTCCATGCCAAGTCTCCAGTTGCAAACGTCTGCAGACAAAATGAGATGTAAGACGATAGGAGGCAAAGTGTCAAACACCTTGCACATAAGAATGATCACAGTCATTGGTTTTCATTCAAATAAACAAATGTCCGAGAAAAGAGCTTTACTTAGAACATATTCTACTATACCTACCATATATAGAAGTTATGGATGACATTATTGTGGGCGATGTGGTGGTACCCATGCATTGTTCCTCCGTGGGAACATGGGCGCATCGACCATTATATTTGGCTGCATCGACTGGGCATATGCAATTAGATGGACAGTCATCGTTGAATGGACACTGCGTGAGATCTCCGTTACATCCAGGGTAGCACTCACAGAATGATGGACATACTTTCAGAGACAAAATACAGACGTATTATTAGTAGGAATATAAATTGCGAACATGTTTAAACCATGTGATAAAGTCGTAGAAATATTGATGCCTATGTGATATTTATATATTGAACTATGGTTTGTTATGTTATTTCCACTTTCAAATTGGAAATTACAATAATATATATTTACTCACGTGGTAGGGTAGAAGTTGAGAATGTAGTGGCTGTGGGAGAAAATCAAAAACAAAATGTGTCAAATTATAAATGCAACATTTGTATTAATTTAATTCTTTGAGTTTAATTCTTTAGTTTATAATCAAACTCAAACAGAATTTATACTCACTTTGTGGAACGCATTCACAGCACTGCGTGTCGTCATTGTCATGCAATTTCTTGTAATAACCCTGTAATATAGATTCAAGACAATTGTATATTCTACCATATGGTAATGGGTTTTTGCTATGGAGGCGATCTTAATATATTTAATATATTGATAAAGACTATATATATATTGGATACCGATTCATGGCCGTATTTGTATAGTATTATACTGGGTTTCAATGAGATACTTCATATGTAAATGTGTAGTATAAGTTCTACAACGACACACTAAATATAGAATATAGAATCGGGTTACGATGATTAGTAGTTAGCCTAATAATATATATGGACATACTCACGGGCTCACATACGAGGTTGCATTGTTTTTCACACATTGTCCTGCCATCAGTACAAGTACAGTGGATACACGGCAGTTCGGCTACAAAATTCTCTCCATTCTGGGAATAAGAAGCAAACATGGTCAAACAATAGTAAGGGAATACATGGTGTATAAAATGTAGAAAAACAGTGAAGCACTGCAAAAGCTCTATATTCACATATTTTATTGACAATGTAATGTAATAGAAGTTATATCCTCAGCTAAGACCATAGTGCTGTGTCCACCATGCGTTAGCAAAAAGTAAGGACTAATATTTAACGTATAGCCTAATCTTTCTAATTTGTGTCCTAAAAGAAAACAATTAACCTCATAATATAATAAATTGAGTATTTAACTACTTTATTCACTTTTGATTGTGGCTTTTTAAAATAGCTGCCTAGAAAATGGTGCTACACATGTGTCAATGTTTCGTTTACCTTTGAATCTTGTTATTTCGTGTAATCAGGGATAGTTTGATTTTTTATTTGATAAATACGTTCAGGTTACAAAAATGTATTCTTAGGTAGAAGGCATGTCAGTTATGTACTGACTTTTTTCGGAATACCAATTAGTTGTGAGATAATTGTAATGTGTGTGTGTGTTGTCTATCTTTGAGGTACATTTATCTGAATTTGCTCATTAGGTTAGTTTAGTTCTGATGTGCAAAAATCAACTTCATTAACTTTGCCCCAATAAAGGGCACATTCACTACCGGCACGTGATATTGAAAACAAACTAAGGAACGCTAAAATGTATGTCCATCATAAAAGTTATCGATGTTGTGTTGGATCGACATAAATATTTTAGAGATAGCTTACTTCATAAGTGTTACCGTCATATTCACATGGACAATTTCTTTCGTCACTGCCATCATCACAATCATTTCTGTCGTCGCACCATAGGTCATCGATGTAACAAGCACTACAGTCATCGCATGGGATGCTGTCTGGTGGACAACTGCACATAAATTCGGTAGTTGGTAGGGCTGTGGTAGTTACTGTAGGATAGAATTTATGAAAATAATGATAATGTGATTTGGTTTACTCCACTTTCAGATCGATTGTTGATTATATTGATATATTGATGTAAAAGTTGTTTTTGCCTCTATGTGTAAAACACATTAAAGTTTGCGAATTTTGTCACGTGACTATGCCGGCATAATGGATTTGTTCTAAAGAGGAAGTAGTTTTAATTTATGTCTCTTTTACCCTATTTTGCATCTCTCAACTGAGTAAAAACAATAATTTACGTTAGCGGCGTGATTTCGTCTCCATCTCCATCCAAATGTGACAAAACGTTTGGATATCTGTTTCTCGTGAATGCGTCAATCTATCAATTTGATATTTTGTATATATATTTTGGCCGTCATCTTAGATTTGCCACAATTTGTTTCTCATGCGCACGATCAACTAGACATGCATGTAACATGTATGGTGAAAAGATATTAAGAGAAGAAAATGTTCAGTCACATAGCTTGGCTACCATCTTTGGGTTTTGAAAAAAATAGGCACAATTCGGGGCATTTGTTTTTCAAGAATGCTTCAACCGATCAACTGGATATTTTGCATGTAGCGTGTATGACCAATGCATCTTCTGAGGAAAATAACACACATATTAAGGCATATTCAGCCTTCTAACTTGGACACAACTCTCTGCAGCTTCATAATTATTGGTTTAGTGTCTTATATGGTGACGTTATATTATGTTCCAATGCTTTGCTGCACAACTCGCTAATCGTTAACTAATGGTCAAATTTAAAGGGCTATGCCCTTGTGATGATTTAACATTGTTTACACCAGTTCTTTATCATACTTGTACAGGTTTTAAACTACACTTAATACTTAATAATACACTATTCCTTGCTATAGATAGAGCCCTCTAGTGATGGATGGGGCGATTCTGTGACGTCCAAATGACGTAAATGGGTGAAGGCATTGTCATTCAACTCGACAAGCATGTTTGGCTGTGTAGTCGTTCGCCATAAAAAAAATAGTGAAACTAAAACTTAAATTTGATGTACGCCTGCAAAACAAAATTGACACTTTGTATCACGTCATAGAAGCGCTTCGTCAATACAGGGCACCATTTATAGTCAAAGGTATATATTACTATTACCACTATCTGTACTCACGTGATTCACAATAGCAGCATCCATCATCTGGTTGTACCAGTTCCATACCCTACATTATATAAACAAATTTGCTTGAGCTGCGTTGTTAATCAACAGAAATTATGAATAATGAAGAAACGCAAACAAATGATGTCATGTCTAGTACTGAATAAATAATTACGTAATGCACATCATTTGAATGAATAAATGCGTAAAGCGTTTTCTAAATGCTTCAGATAAATATTAAAAAGTACTCACGAATGCACAATCAATTTCACATATATTGTTAAGCGTCACTTGTCCATCGAAGCAGTAGCATTGGTAACACTCATCGACAACGATAGGGGAACCGGGCTGCAGAGCATGTAATAAATAATATTAATGAGATACAATACATCCTAGTACAGCAACACTGATTGGTGAATAGCAAATGCAATAATTTTAATATGTAACGCAGTAAAACACGTGTACGGTATGGGGTCAACAATTAGTGTGCTATTACTTAAATTGAACTCCGGGGCATGGATACGGCTTTATTGGAGTCTTGCGACAAATATTTGAAATAATTGATGGTTAGCGTTTACGCAGTTGTTCATAGTTTAATATTCCATTACCATGACTGTCATTCCTTGGTATTCACATTCACATTCGCTTCTTAGTACACAATTGCCGCTTTCCGCGTCGAGAACTTGGTCCTCGGCACACCTACAGCACATATCTCCCTCGCCATCAGTTCGTACAGGAATGTTCTCACACGTAGTGATACCTTCCCGGAGATGTTGGCATGTCAGCTGGCAAACAGCGCACGCCTGCCATTCCATTCCCCCGTACTGACACACGTGTGACGTGGGAGTAACTTCGGGTGTAGTGGTTGATACGTGTACACATTCCATGCAGCATTTGCTACCGACTTGAGCCTCAACAAAGCCCTGTTGGTTACAAGAACAAATAGTAGCAAACCAACTAATCTATTACACTGACTGGTGCATTATAACATATTTTGAATGCTGAATTTACAAAGAGTAAACTTACTGATGGACAATTTAGAGGTTCGCAAATGATTGGGTCACACTGTACACTGTTATCATAGCATCTACACTCTTCGCAATTCCCATTCATCCATGAAGAACCAGGCTACAGAGGTAATGTACAGAATACAGTAGTAGTATCATTTATACCACAAAACTCGTGCAACATTGTGAGTTTCAAAGAATAGAGAAATAACAGCATTCAAGTCAAAATAATTCATACCTTTTTAAGTTCACCCTCATAGGTACAGTTGCAATTGAGTGGGCTAATACAGTTACCATTTATATCCATAGCTCTACCTTCCAGACACTGACACCCAGGTTCGCAAAGACCTGTGTACTCGCAAGTTTCAAAATTGGCGTGACACAGCAGCGGACAGGCATCGACACACTGGCGGTAAACCATTCCCACGGGGCATCCTAGCAATAATGAAATAACTAATCTGAGAATACGCACGAGCATACACGTATGGGGGAGATATGTGTGAGATTTAATTATCAGAACATGGTAATGGTCGTTAGTATTTTACGTACAATAATACAAAGAGATACCACTTACTTGGTGTCGTTGGTATTGGCTGTGCTGTAAAATGCAAGAAAATATATATATATGTCATTACGTGCATAGGGTTCCATAGCCAGAGCATAAGAGAAATATCTGTAATCACTCTAAGAACAAAATACCTTAAGCCATATTACCTAACATGAGTCTTATTAAATTGTTAATAGCAGCATCTTACTTGTGGTTGCCGGAGTCGTGCACATATTTAAAAGTTCATCCGCTTTATCGACACAATCGACAACTCCGCCATCGCATGGAATTGCGCAACTACCATCTTCACACTGGTATTCGTGGGGTTCACATTCAATCACTGAAACAGTATAGAAATAAAAACTGTATTACATGTCCTCACGAGTGTATAGTTACAGTAAATTACGACACTATATGTATGTTCTTATTACCGTTCATTATGTGTGTATGTGCTTAACCTAGAGACTTGACCAGCTCTAAAGTAATGACATGAGTGGGGATACATTTATAACGAACTTTACCTGGAGGTGTAGAGCAGCTGGTACCAGAACATGTTATTTCGTTGTTGCCAATACATACGCTGAAATTATAAAAAAATGTGGGCATGATATATCACAATAGATTACAGTAATTAGTATGTATCTATATAATTATGATATAAAATTACACGTTAATGATTTAATAATAGTTATGTGAATATTAATTTGCGCCAATCACTGGAATTATTCTGTCTGTCTATACAACTGTCTTTTTACTACATTCTAACAAATGCATTTAAATATTATTTATTTCCTCGGCATACTTACCACTTCATACAATCCTTGACAAACAGTTGGTTGGGCATATATTCAACACCATCCTCCGTGCATGGGCATAAATCTCGTGCAATACAATTACCCTTGTACAAGACAAATCCATCTGGACAATGGCAACCTTCAACGCACTCTTCAGTGCAGCCTTGGTATGTATTGGTTCTATCTTGGTAGCAATTGCTTGGACACGTGACACCGCATGCTTGATACTCCATGCCATTCTCGCATTGCAGCCCTATTGATATATACAGCTATATTATAGCAGCTGGTGGATATATCCTCCACGAACAAATACTAAAATTATATTATGAATTCCAGATTTAACTACGCAACATATTCATTATTGTGTCATATAAGTAAATTATTACATAACTCCAACACTCTATTGACATCCACAACAAGTATATATAGTATCATATCGAGTTAACACTGGCATTCTGTGGTAATGTCACGGCGATAACTCCTGAATACAAGTCTTGTCCATCCTATTCTTTGCCCCCAGCCTTTGTTGTCAATATTTCTGCATACACATATATGCAGCTATTCTACACACACAAATCAAATGAAACCCAAGAACGTTAGATAATACTTACCACACACACCGGTAGCTCTCCACCTAATATGCACACCAGCAGCGTTACACGCTCTCGCATAGGCAGCAACAGCAGTACATAAACACTCGCAATCACCGCCTCTGTCACATCCACATGCATCATATACACAATCCGTGTAATATTTATTTGGCTCCACCTGTTAAACATATACACATGTTGTGAAACAAACTTTCATTCGATTGGTGGATAAACACACTTAGGCCGATATACGGTGTATGGGTTGATTATCTAAGGAGATCTCTGATTACGGTTTTTAGAAGTCTATCAAGACGCAATTATTGCTTTTAGAACCCAGAATGATGCAAGGCAAGCGAGTTAACCACTTTAGCTATTGTTCAGTTCTTTACAAATGCCCCTATAAATTAAGGTTGTTTACTATAGGTATGCAATCGTGAATGCTTTGATTGAAATATTGAGAACTCCATGTGTAAATTGGAATCAGGAAATTTTGAAAGACGCAAATTCATGCAATGATTAACATATCATCGTTATCAAATGAAAAATGCAATAAATCGACACTTACATAATCATTGCAGGGTTGAAATATTGGTTGCAGGAGGATACCACACGCAGACTGGGCCCACCGATGTCTTTCAGGACGACTTTCACAGGGACTTATCGTGTCAGATATGGCCCCTGGACAGGAATCCTTCACTTTCCAGCTATCAGCGAACAGGTGGGATAGTTCTTCTTTACGACCAGTTCTAGTCACAAAGTCGTCATTTGGATTGCCGTTGAAATCACCACAGAGACCACAGACTGTGCCTTGATGGGATACGCCCAAGTCGACATAAACTCTGGTACCGACGTCCCATCTGATTGTTATGTCTGGAACGAAACACGTTGAGATACAGTGGCGGATCCAGAGGGGGCAAGGGGCATGCCCCCCCCCCAACGCATGACGATTCATATCAACTTGATTACACATAGTTTCTCTGCGATTTACGCTCCGTTTATTTTAAGCGAAGCTTGGAACCCCCCCCCCCCATACATTTTGCTGGATCTGCCACTGTTGAGATAGTTGACAAATCTAATCACGTCCATCTGGCACTTCTGCTTATACCTTATCACGTGACCTACGAATATTATACGTTTCATATGTTTCATAGGAAACAACAACGATCGCCAGGGACATTTGTTACCTTTCCATTCATACATGATCCAAAATTACCACGTGTTTGGTGGTCTGACCAGGGTGTATGCTACTAGTATTTAAAGTGGGGGAGTCGTCACCTGCGCATGCGTCAGATGGCCATAGTGTGACATTGTTTACAAACAAGCGTCTTTTTAGCGTGCGTTGTTATCGTCGCTTGGAACTCAATTCCCGCGTGCGCAGGTGACGACCCTCTCCCTTTAAACTACTATCAGGGGGAAAAACTCTCTCTCTGGGTTCTCCACACGTGTCAGGGGGGAAACTCGTCTCGTCTCTCTATCTCGTCCCCTTGAGGTACGGGATCGGGAAAGTCACTTTAACTTTACAGTCAAATAAGGCACACACAACGAAATACGTTTCAGCTCTCGTCTTAGTCGATCTTTTGGAGCACTCTATAAGACACAGCGCCCTGGGGAAAAGTCCCCAAGACACACACAAGGCTGAACCAAGACTGGACTGCGTCAAGGCTCGCCCCAAGTCTCTCTCGGACTCTCAGACTGCCTCTCTCTACTGCGTCTATCGTGGAGTATTCGCCAAGACCAACTCAAACTCTCTTTATTCATTTTCAAAACTCTAACCAATTACAAAGCAGTAAAAAGACTCTAAGGCGTAAACTTCAATCATAAAGCCAATCAAACTAAGTACTGAATACGTCATATCTTTTGATTAATCGTTCACTACATTAATAATTATGGATGTAAACTGTCAGAATGAGTAGTCTAAAAAGCGGTGGTTATCTGGTAATTAGTTCCAAATCACTGAGCCAAGTTCCGTCCAAAACTTCAAATAGACCTAAACGATGACAGACGTAACACAGCAATTCAGCTAATGATCAGTTAATTAAGTCGGTTAACAGATACGCAAAAACAAATTCATGACACTACTGAGTGAACAGCCATTCGTGGTGGCCAATTCAATAACCTGCTCGATGCACTTTAAACCTATCAGAAAAATAAACATATAATTTATACGCAAGTTAAATTCTGAAACTATTCACTACTTACCATATGGAGTACTTATCTGAAGGAACACGCCGTTCTTGTAAATGTTGTACTGTGCTTGGACGCTGCTTTCAGTGTTATTTGTGATTACTGGATCAGATCCCTTGACAAGATGAATGTTGGTATTGTACAGAGTAATCCTTATAGATTTGGTGCAGGTGACGCCCTCAACGCCACAGGCTACGTTCTCGACAGTAACCCTGAAGAACCCAGGAGTAGATCCTTCACAGAAGTTTTCCGTTAACACGTATCCACATGCACCTGCATAACACCAGAGGGCGTGAACGTGCATTGCCATATACATACATACATACATACAAACTTGCATACATATTGCATTCTCAGACTGATAGTCGAAGAAGTATGACGTAAAAATTAATTAACACACAGCCGCGGGGGGATTCACATATACGTAGGTTCTGCGGTAAACCGCCGTTGTTTTTAATCAAGATGTTGTAAGATTGGGATGCCTCGTTTTGTGTATTTAACACTGTGTTATCGGCTGAAATCCAATAAAATGATATCAAACCATAGAGTATCTGGCTGTTTATTTTAGAAAATGTATATGCTTTAAAAAAAACATTCACTTTAAAATGTTTAACATTTCTGTTTTTATAGTCGTGTAATCAACATCAAGTTCTATGCGTGTAATTCTTGTTCGTAATATCTCCTGTTTTTACAACACTCACTAAATTGTTTTCACACCGTGGGTAAGAATGGCAGTATAATACAACTACAAATACAATGTGATGACAGCGATGTTCGCCTTTTTGTTAATGTCAGATATTTGGTTGTCCCTACCACTAGTCGTAGATGTAAGGTTGTCACCTAGCATCCAACATATGTTAATGTATTGTACTGTATCTACCGATTGAGACCTTCACAATAAATGGCGAACTGCACTCTCCCAAACGTACTTAATACACTAGTAATTTGTTACAACCGTGTACAAGCTCCCTCATTTCAGAGCCATGTACAACTTTGACGTTTCTTGCTATGAAAATGTTGAGTTTTACCCTACATTGTCATCAAAGTATAAAACTTTAACCAATGTCTGTCAAAATATAGAATCCCCCTCCCCGCCTCCACATTCACACACATTTTAGTCGGAACGTCAAATTACGACACCCAGTTTCCGCCAAAATGTAGAATTCAGAACTCTCATTAAAACAGGGGGCCTACCCGCATTATTTTACACTTCCATTACTTTTATTTGTCTTACTTTGCAATTTGTGTTTTGTCAAATATACGCACCTTGGAATTCATATTGCTTGTGATCATATGTCTCGTAATGGGGGTCTCCAAAAGCAGAGCAGGTTCCTGTGCACCAAAATAAAATATACGTTATATTGCACGTGTTGACGAAAAACGAATATACGTGTAGATTAACACAGTATATTTGCGAGGAATTTAGTGTGTCAAATGTTGACATTGGCTTAACGCTACAGGGAACTTACTTACCTGGACATGGGTACTTTGTACATCTCCACTCTTTGGTTCCACCGAGACATTTGCTAATTGTAGAAAGATACAATATAATTAAAAAATAAATAAAATAAAGAGTATATCGTGACATACACCTATCATATTGTGCGATACGTCTAACATATCGTGAGATACATATACCATATCGTGAGATACAACTAACATATCGTGAGATACAAACAGCTTATTATGAGGTTCGTCTAATATATGGTGAGATACATCCAAGATATCGTGAGATACATATAGCATATCGTGAGATACATATAGCATATCGTGAGATACATATAGCATATCGCGAGATACATATAGCATATCGTGAGATACATATAGCATATCGTGAGATACATATAGCATATCGTAAAATACATCTAACATATTGTGAGATACATATAGCATATCGTGAGATACATCTAACACATCGCGAGATACATCTAACATATCGTGATATACAAACAGCATACTATGAGGTTCGTCTTATATATGGTGAGATACCTCCAACATATCGTGAGATACATATAGCATATCGTGAGATACATATAGCGTATCGTGAGATACATCCAACATATCGTGAGATACATCTAACATATCGTGAGATGCATCTAAAAACGTGAGATACATATAACATATCACGAGATAAAAACAGCATATTGTGAGATACAAAGAGCATATCTTGAGATACATCTAACATATCGTGAAGTACATATCCATATTGCGAGACACATATTGAACCCTGCTTTTTTAACATATTCTAACATCTAACATATTAAAATCACTCGGAAATACTGCAATAGCAATTCACTTATTGAACCCCGTATTCAATAAATGTTCATAGAATAATTACCAATAGTTGCAATCCACTTTTATGATTTTGTTTTTCGGATAAGCGTTGCCTTGGTGATAGCATGGACATTTATTAATATCTACACATTCATCTCCTTCGAGTGCCGTTCCTTCTGGGCAGACACACCCCTCAACACAGTCAAGCTGCACGCATGGCACACTCAAGGTTGCGCACGTCCTTTCACAATTTATGCAAGCACTCCATACTTTGCCTTTGGTGCACAACGCCGTTTCTGTAATCAAGAAAAGCATGTGAGTATTTAGATGTATAGGAAATAAGAATGACTAAATCGCAGTGTGTATATACAATCATTACATGGTTAAGACTTCTAATATACACTAGTTTAGCTAACTGAAATCAGTGCGACGGATATCAATTGATTATGTTTTTAGAAAACGTTGACTTATCTTAATGGTTGTTTTTGAGGATAACACTGGTGGGTGTGATTGTGTTTATAAGAGGAAATTGTATCGTAAGATAATATTGTGTTATATATTGAAAAAAAATGGCCTCTCACCATCGCATATATTTGTTTCACAATCCCACTGGCCATTTTGGCAAACACTAAAATAGAAAAATATTAGTATTAATAATATTATTTTATTATGAGAAAACATATAACATATGTGTGAGTCATTATTTATAAAAACAATATTTTGCAACTGAGTTATACTCATGAATACACATCGTGTATTTTTTATTCATGATAATTAGTGTACGCATACCAGTGGTTGCACTTATCCATTCGAGTTGTTCCCGGTGCATACATTAATGACGTCATACTGGACGCACTCTTGTAATAACATGGGCAATCAGATATAGCCACACACTGGCTGATTTCTTCGTCCCATGCCGTACCAACTGGACAGTTGCATCCTTCCACACATTCTTCGACGCACTCTCGGTTATTACTGATATCTCGGCACGTCTGTCGGCAATTCGGACCGCATTCGTACCAAATCTTCCCACTGCTACAGCTCACGGCTGGTAAAATAAAAATTAGTGGTATTGTCTGGGCACAGAATAAGACTGCAATTTGATTGTAAAGTCAAATCTGGTTGTCATTACATCGACGTGATCTCTACATGTTTAGTTATATTATTCAAATTACAACTATTAATAAATTCGTGTTAAATTAGAGAATTCAATACATTTATTTTACTTACTGCACGAGTCAACTCTCCAGTCCAGTGGATAACCGCTGAGGGCGCACTCCCTCGCGTAAGATGCGAACGCGGTACATTCGCAGTTACCGGGGTAGACTTCATATCTCAGTGCACACTGGCAAATATCGTGTTCACATTGGGCAATGTACTCTCGTGGATCGAGATGAGTGTTGCACTTTGTGAAGGCACCTTTCCAGAGTTTACTACATATTGCCTGAGCATATAATTCAAAGTCGATAGCATACTGACAGGCGTTGCTACGGGTTTGTGCCTCGTCAACGTCGGCGCATTCTCCGTCGGTCTTCCAACGGTTCGCGAATCGAGTACTTGAAATCTCTATATCACCCGAAGAAGTCAGGAAGTCGTCTTCCGGGTTATTGTTGAAGTTACCGTACAGACCAATCACCTGTTATGAAGACAATAGATCATATATTCATATAAAGTCGAATAAGTTGCGCTTGGTAGCGACGAAGTGAATATGTGACGTAATGGTCGTATGTATCCTCTTCATAGGGGCTGTTCGTCAATAAAACAAACACCGGTTTGCAGAGATTTCCTATATTCTAAATGACGAATTATTGCAAAACCGAACGGGGTTGTCAATTTGAACGCACATTTGAGGACATGCATGCGCTTCCCCACTAGAGGGCGCAATTTATCAAAAAGGTAAATCATATTGCTTCATAATAAAACACACTGTATACATACATTCCCATGCCATGACGGGTCCAATCTAACATAGGCGCGTGAAATGCCATCCCATAATATATCAACTCCAATACGAGTCTCTACTCTTATAAATACAGAGGAGACTTGGCGAATGGTGAGGCCATCTACTAGGGATGTATACGGAACGTGGATATCCACTTCGTCAACAGACACTCGCTGCCCTGCCTTCAATCTACAAGAAATAAATAACTTTTAACAGGTATCAAATGTCAACATGTTTCAGGAGTATTTTTAGTACCCAAAAAATCATGGACATGACATATCTACGTCGTTCGGTTGGTCATAATGTTTCAAACTTAAATACACCTTAGAATGTTGGTCATTTTTCTTTGAACTTGTGACACTATATAGATGGTGTTCACAGCTACAGGGAGCATTCAGCTGAACAATGTGCTTGTTTTCACACAATAACGCCACAAGTTACATTTCTTGAACACTTGGTTGAACGCTTGGCAAACATCCTGACTACAACAGTGACCGCCTGTGACGTGATGATTTCACGGAAACACGCCAACAAAGAATAATTTCGATAATCATTAACCGAGTTATAACGGGTTAAATTAACATGGCTATAACACTCACCTAAACAAACCAATTATTATTTGTAAAAGTTGTGTATTTTTGTAAATGTAATTTTTCGGAACGACCGAATTCCTACAGCTAAGATATAACTACATGTGTTTTATGATTGGCGTTGCATTGCATTGCCTTGCCTTGTGTTGTGTTGCGCTGTGTAGCGTAGTGTTGTGTTGTGCTGCGTAGTGTTGCGTTGTGCTATGTCAGAGATATTTACCTGTACATAGGCCCATCTACCGACACTTGGAATGAAACCGATCTGGTGCACTCAGCCAAAGAGCTCATACCACACTCCGAATTCTCTACCCAGATAGTAAAAGGTAATTCTTCGTTCGTACTACGACTCAGAACATATCGACATGAACCGGGAAATATGTAATGTTTGTCATCGAATGTTTTGTAGTGTGGATCACCAGAGATGGCAGAGTATCCTGGACAGGCGTTAGTGGTACAAACCCATCTACCATTATTACAGGTGCTGAAATAATTGAATGGCCATACAATTAAATAGGCTAAATTACCAATATAATAACATAGCCGCACGTGTATGACTGTATTTTAGTTCTTCATCCAACGAATACTATAGGAGTGCCACTGGAGCATCACTTTTTAGTTCATGAAAAATCACAAAGCAAATTGCTCATCGACTGACAATTTAAAAACTTCGTTCACATTTCATCTTTTAAACGAAAGCAATCAACTTTTGCTGGACCACGCAGTCCAAATCATCATTTTTTGCATGTCAACGTTCATTAATGGGGATATGTACTGGATGGTAGAGACCATTAGTGCATAAAATATGCTAAAAGCCGTAATAAAGGACGAGGTAACTCACCATGTGTTACAGGCATCTGGGATTATTGCTCCGACAGGGTACTTTTGACCTCTTCGATCACACGGACAGTTTTCACGAAGGACGCATCTTTCACCATCCCACAGTGTTCCTGAAAAAAAAAAACATTCAGTCATTGGTTGTTATTTCCATTAATGGTGATCAGCTGCCAATCGTAAAATATATTTCACGACACACTGCATGTCACGTGCACGTACAAACTGTGCATGTGTGACAGGGTTGTGACAAACATCTGCGGACCTTGAGATTATAAGAAAGTCACATCTATTTCTGAATGAGTTCCGTCAAGTAACACTGGCCTTTTATTATGTGGCGCCCTTTTCAGTGTTCATCCTCAAGCGTTTGAACTTAAGATTTCGTGGGTCCGGAGCAAGGGACAGTCACGGCCGATGATATAGGTTATAGAACACGGGGGTTATATTTCATAGGTAAGTTTTAATTCATTCGTGGGGTATAATGTCACTGTAATATTAAACATACCGCTGGGGCAGTGGCATCCGTCGATGCACGAATCGGCACATTCCGGTTCGTAGTCTACGTTCCAACAGGTTCTCGGGCACACGGATCCACATTCGGAGTAAACTTCACCTGCAGGACAACTTCTCGCTACAGTAAAGATAAAATATCTACATTTCAGAAAAATAAGTATATCAGCTGCGGAGCAGCGAAAGCGACCCAGTAAAGTGGTTGGTTCTATCGCTGTCACCAATGTCGAATTCCGCAATACACTACTCGTATCTTTTAAAGTCACGCCCTCTAGTGACGACGCGCTTATTTGACATTGATGAGCGACAAACATCCACACATATAAGTAAGGTACATATTTGCCCTTCTACTTGAATGACATCGCTTATATCTGCATAATGCGGACGCCATAGAAACGTGTCGTTTCTAGATAGCAATTCTGACCATTTCCCATTATTGTGTTCTATGAATATTAAGTTGTTGAATAACACATCAGAGGAATCTGAAACACTTTATTATGCGTTGCTAGATAGCCTGATCTATCCATATGATTATTGGTTGCCATTTTTATAGATAGATACGGGAAGTATACCTAGTACACGTTTTCGACGAACAACAAAACTCAATTATGAATAATTACAACCAGCTATTAACGAAAATGAATGCAACTTCTTTTCACCTACCACAGAATTTGTCGCTTCTCCAGCTCAGTACTATGCCGTGGAGGGCGCACACTCTGGAATACTCAGTGAACGCATTGCAGGCGCATTGCACTTGATCTCCGCCAGCAATATTACAGTCACACATATCATACAGACATCGATCCATATAGGGCGCTGGATTGACATACGCGTTGCAAGCTTTAAACGCCTCGAGGTTTTCAAGTTGGTGACAGTACCCTCTCATATATTCCAAATCTTCGAAGGCTACCGAAATGCACGGGTATGAGATGTGCTCCACTGGGTTACAGGCAACGCCGGTCTCTTTCATCACGTTGCCAAATTCTTCGACACTCTTTGCTATTTCGTGATATTTATATGGCCTCATTGAGAAGTCGTCCGTTTTGTTGCCATTGTAGTCGCCACAAAGACCGCACATGTTGCCCATGTAACTGCTATCAACGGTTATGGCAACACTGTCCATCCCATCGTAGGTGATCTTTACACCTGGTGCAGAAAAGATGAAGAGTATGTCTGTTACTACTGGCAACTGATGTACATACAGTAACATCGTTTTATTCTCTGTCTGGTGATTATAGGCACATGGCCACTTTAAGCATTATCGGCCCGGCACGATTCCCCATGGAATTGCAAAAAATGAACAACACGTATTATTGTCATGAAAAAAAAAGTTACACAACTTATTGGGTTATACTACAAAACATTTCAAAATAACTTACAATTAATATCTACAAGACATAGCATGTGAAGTAATGATATCAAATCTAGTCCTAATTAATTGATTTCTTTCTTCAATGACAGTATATTCAACCGATCACTGATAAGTTGTTGCATGGTATATATTGGGGTATATATCTAAATATGGTTAGTGTTACCAATATTTGTCTGCAATTTAACTGTTGTATGTGCTTAAAACAAAAACGTAACGTACCGTTTAGGCCTTCCAATATTGTATATGTTCCACTTTGCGTTATTATGACGTCATTGATACTGTGCGGTATTTCGATTGGTCTATCGTTGATAGTCACTATGTCATCTGGTAAAATGGCAATATTGAGAAGTTCGGACCTACAGGAAAATTATGTAAGATGAGGAGACAGTTGCGTGATTTTGACAGGACAGTCTGAGAGAAGAAAAATCATATGGAATAACTTAAAATGCTGAATCTTCATTCAATGTATTCGCTATAGCGAATCTGAATCCTGGGTGAATCACATGCGACTCACCTTATATGTACGGCACATCTACACAACGAACCACTGCAGTCATACACGGTGTTTACTAATATTTGGAACGAGGTTGAGCCTATTTCAGAACAGTCACTCGCCATCACGTAAGTACATTCACCAGGGAACGTATAGTGGGTTCCATCAAAGGAGCGAAAGTGTTTACCATTCATAGTACAAAGCCCCATATTCTCCAGTAGGCTCTGTTCAACTGGAAATAGTTACAAAAACAATGTATGTTATATAACTCACTAAATGACGTAATCAATAATTGCCACATTTGATAGCTGTGCTACAAACATAATCCTGGGCAAATTATCATATGTTCATCAAATGTATTTGTGTTCCGCAATCATAAATACTAAAAAAAACAGGTTGAATGGATAATAGAACAATGCGATTTCCATGTACTGAACTACCTGAGTTGTATGTTATAATTGGTAAATCATGTTAAAAAATAATCATACAACTACACTTACGTTTGTCAACTGGTGATCCATCCACGCTTATAATTTCTGCGTATTTAATTTAGAAGAAATAATGTAAAAAAGATTAGGGTTCAACTCATTTGCAAGGTAACGATGATGATTATATAGAAGCTATTGTTATGGTAGAAACAATAATATGTATAAATATTAATCAAACTGAAATTGTACTATGAATAGATACTGCCACTTACGAACTTGACAGTGCGTTCCTTCGTGGTATGCGTCGCATTCACATACACCAGGTGCAACACACATTCCACCAGGTGAGCAGGATGGTTCACACACGGCTACAAGAAAATAAATCATTATATCAAGACCGATATTTTTTAATATCTCGGTGTTTCCCATCGAACATGAGAAGTTTGATCCATAAAATGAGATACAGTCATACACTCTAGCCTCGGACTGGGAGTGAATGCGGAGTTGTTTACAAGAATGTGACTGGCTTCCCAACCCAAACATTTGTTGACAGGTTTTGTTTCCCTAGTATACATGCTTCGATTCGAGGGCGGACTTGGGCTGGCCCAAAGTGTTCGTGGGAAATGCAATTGAAACTGACTCAATTCGTATCGATTAGTTTCTCGCACCTCAGTGACTAGTTAATGAATCCATAGCCCCCACACAGGGGAAGAACTATGTTGACAACGTCTATTGGTATTTTGACACCGAATCTCGCTTTGGAGCTCGATCTGTGGACTTCCGAAATTTTAGGTGGGTAGATAATGTTGGAAATCACATAAGCATTGGCATATTTTATAATACTTATAGGTCGGTTTGTTAATCCCAATGGAGCGATTTTAGTATGGTACCAAGTGTTAAATTTAAACGCATGCTGTATAACACATAAGGCCACACTATATTTAAACACACAAATGTTGTACTCACTGTCTTCACAGTAGTCGCCGGTATAGCCTGCTTGGCAGTCGCAAAGATTATCCCCAATACATTCGCCATGGTGGCAGCCAGACTGGCCACATACGTAAGTTTCTATTGAACAACAGAAATAAACAATTAACATTGGTTATAAGCTTGAGTAGGCAAATGAACTAAAAGTGCCTCCCGAGTTTTATAAATGTGGTCGGTGTAACAACACTGGCGTGCTGTTTAAATCGCATTGTCTCCAACAAAAGTACTGCAAGTCGGAAACTAATTCCTCAAATTGTTTGCCTTGACAGACACTCCCATTCCCGGCATTGCGAGAAGCGGGTGATAACAAATTAGAACGCACGACACACACTATTGTGAAAAATGGCACATACAATCAGAGAGAGACATAGGCTCTCACAATGGCAATATATTTGACATTGTGACCAGGGCTCCCGGTAAGTTATCAAATTATACCATAATTCCTAAGGTTTGCTTGACAAAAATGGATTTCATTAGAAGGCGCCATCTAGAGACCTGGATATAAACCCGCGCCATCTTGTTTTCACTTGCAAGTGATTTAATGAACAACGTCGATATATAGCGTATAGGCTATACTTTCAGTGTTACAAAGTTAGCACTAATGACACAGAAAATGATTTATTAAAAATAAAAATCGGAGATAAAAGATCGATGGTTACAGCTATTGCCGCTTTAATGTGTTAATCAAATTTTATAATAAATCTGTAAAACGTGATTTTTAATGAAAATCACCGTTCTGCAACCTTGGATGTGAACATGATTACGTCATGTAACTTTGTTTTACCTTCACTGCAATCAACGCCGCTCCATTTGTCCATACATGTACATATTCCGGGATCAGAACAGTCACCATGCACACATGGAGGGTCGCATTTAGCTACAAAATACGGAGATTAAAACAAATTTAGTTCACAGTATTAGATTGTAACATTGTAACAATCAAATCTACGAAAACAATAATAAAACAGTTATATTTGCATTACGGTGTGGTAATATTTACGTATAATTCGAAAATAACATGTTAAAGCAATCTAGCATAGCCATTGTTGTCATGGTGCACTGATATTCATAGAGTATGTTGATGAGTTATCTGAAAACTTACCGATGTCACACATAGATCCTTCGTATCCTGTTATGCACGTACACACACCGGGCGATGAACAGAAACCATGCATACAGCCGTTTACACACATTGCTAACAACAAATAAAAGTCAACATTCTCATAACAATATACTAGTATACGTCAATTATGGTCACAGGAATAGAGTAATCATACAAACACAGTGTTCAACGAACGCGGGGAAATACAATATTAGTATTAGCTATTAGGTCAGTCACAGTCTTTGGGGTGATATTCTTACAGCCAGCTGGCTACAAGTGATTTAAAGAAAATAGTTTACCGACGTTAACTATATGGTCACGAAGCCATATTGAATACGGCTTGAAACTAAATATAGAGAGAAGTTGAGAAACGGAGTTTTCAGTTTTCTACAAATCCGGCGAAAATACATAACAGCCAAACGATTCGTCGAGGTAACATTAGGCCAACCGCTTAAAAAATTAGACCGCATTCATTGTTTTTGAATGGAAAATTCCTTGCATACAAACATCTCATTACACGATGAATTTGGAACACTTTCCCGGGTTTTTGAAAACCGGGATCGTCATGCAACTCAGGAGCCAATCAGCAACGGTCTTCTAACTATATATTTTATTTAGTTTCAAGTCGTATTCAAGATGGCTACCCCCATATAGTAAATATAGGTATAAAATAATCGCATTTTCTATCACTTGTACGCAAGCTGACTATGGGCAAATCAATAACTTTGTTGTTACGTACCTGTTTTACAATCGCTTCCTGCGTAACCTTCTGGACAGCTGCATAGATTAGGACCGACACATTCACCGCCGTTTGCACAGAGAGGATTACAGACAGCTGCGAACAAATATATGCAATGTGTTAATGGTTAGACCAGTCCTATTATAGCGTTCACAAGCGAGGCGCATGGCCTGGACAGTTCTTAGCAATTGACTTCGCTTTTGAAAATATTTCTACTGGCATTCTTTCACAAGTCAGTAATCGACTCCGAGTACCGTCCAACAAATTATTAACGTGCCAAATGTGTTACTTGACCATACGATCAACCCAATTTCAGGACACGCGTGTATTTAACCACTTTTTGGGGGTACATCCCTGCCAGATAGCTTCCTGAGAAAGTTAAAAACATTCAATGTTTTGACATCGCGCTTTAGTACTGCAAATTGTTTTTTTTTTTTTTGGTTTCCAATATCCAGTAAAGGAAAGTAACTACTTACGAATGTTACAGTCTTTGTCTGACCATCCATTGCAGCAGCGAGTGACAAGTTCTTCTGATTCCTGTATAATTTCTATAGGCACGGTATTGGTAACAGTTCTGCAATTGATAGGTTAATTATTACTCCGGTGATCATATTGTAAATCAAACGAATACAAAAATTGTCATACACCAAATGGTTTTATAAGTTGTCAATGAATTATAGTTAGCAGACAGAGTATACGTTTACTTCAGCAATGAATGTAGCAGCCACAAGCCACACCAACGTGACCCACCGACTGCACAAATTGCAAAGGATTTGTACGCAGTCCCACCATTCCATACGCTGTAAAATGCAATCCTGGTTTCCCATAACTCTGGATATATAGTCAGCGTTGAGAATGGAAACTCTAAAACCATGAAATGTTATGTAATAATAACAATAGCAAAGTAAAGTTATCGCCCTCAACGTTGGTTTCGCATATTGATAATACACTGTGAACGGCGCGGGCGCTGCGCATTATTTACATCGTTGATGTTTGACCCCCACCCCCGCCTCGGGGCTTCTCGGCCAATCAGAATGCTACATTGCAGGACGTTCTTGAGTCAAACTTTATATATCTCAGAAGAGTCATCGTACGCAAGCCTTATGTTTTGAAAATGTTTTTGACAGCCATATGTAACAATGAAATAAATATCAACTAGCACATAGAGTGCGAGAAGGCCTCTGGCACATCTTCATTTTAAATGTCATGTCACTTCCCGTACGTAAGCAATGCGACAACATCAGTGAACATCGAAGACAAATCATGGCCATAGCCTAGAATACGTGCATTAGTAAATACAGCGCCCTCTTTCGAGTAACGCGATATCGTGTCTCCGCCACGTAGCCACATGCTGCATTCCATGGGATAGTCGTGTGTGTTGATCACTATGAAAGGCGATGCTTCACTCGAACAAACAGAATAATCGATAGCAAATATAGATTGTTCCGGACTACATTTCTGTGATTTCAATACATCGATTTGTTTTTCAAATAGAAATGAAACAAATATCCATATGTTTTAATACCAGAGCCACATCTCAGTTTTGATAACAAGTTTGGAATTCACTGAAAGTAAACTACTCGTTTCTAACTGAATTTGCTGATATATTCAATTTCAGTTGGCTTTCTGTCTTGGATGCGGTTACTTTTTCAGTTGTGTGCTAACCCAATTCAGTGGCGGCGGCACCGGGGCGAAAAAATGGTGAGCAAATCTCGCCCCCCCCCCCCCACCCATGCTAAATTTCGTGCAACCGTCTCTGCAATTCCAAATGACAGCTTCGAGTGGTACAGCGGGCGGTGAAGTATTAGTGTGTAAAGTCAGCCTGCGTTTTTTTTAGTATTATTACTTAAATGGCTGTTACAAAATGATATACTCAACGCCTGTCACTGCTGTATGGAGATGACGTTAGCGAACACCTGTTATTAGACCATAGAATATTTCAAACTTTCTAAAAGATGTGCGGGTGGTAGAGTTCGTTTATTTTGCATGTCGCGCATTGATACTATTCGTAATACACACTTGTTGAAACGCACTTTTTTAGCATACCCACTCGTCGTTTTAGACTAAAACTTTTGTCAAGAATTATACGTATAGCTTATGTGACACATCAAGTGAAACTATTCATTAATTAACTAACTTGTACCCAATTTGTTGCGTAATCGACGTTGTCGGTACTTTGATCTCGACCAAATTACGGTATACAGTCGCGAGAATTCTAGAACGCCCATTGGTCAATTCAAAACAGCCGTGGTATATGTTACCTGTTCAGTCACATTTTATGTATGAACAGCAGTATATATTTATGACTAATCGCTGTCTACTAATACATGTACATAATTACTTCAAATATCGTGTCTTTGGTCATTTGCAGTCATGGAGTATAAAAAAGCAACAATTTGATTGATCGTCACCCAATAGTCAAGCAAGGTGTTACTTGATTGGTTTAAAAATCACGTAGTAAGAACTGGTGGCAAATCAGATCGAGTGTTACTTACACATTGAAGACACAGTACTCTTGGCTGTTCATGTCCAATTCCATGATTTTGACGTACGCATCATTTCCATCGCCAACGGAACACAAGTCAGTTTCACGTTTATCTCTGTCGTTCCTCATATACTGTCACAGTCTGTTATCATCTCAGTGTATTCGCATCGATTTCCTTCGATCTCAACGCTGGATTTT